GGTCAAACAATCTATATTTGGATTCTTATTTTCAATAATCCATTTTCTAATGACAGGATACTATATTTTATGTATTTTAATAATAAGATTTACCAAGAATTAGAATTATCTCCATAAAATTTAAAAGACAATGAGTTACTACAATCAACAAGATAGAGAATATATTCTCTAAGTTGGTAACAAAAAATTGTATTGCCAGCAATTCCTCTCACTCTCCTTAACCTTTGCATTCTAATAGTTAAGAGTTAAAGAGTTTGAGTATTTATCTTAGATACTTTAAGTTTAAAACTTAAAAATGGATGGAGTTTAGAGATGTCTTTAAAAAAAATTGTTTTTTATTATATAATAATATAATAAATATAATAAAAATAAAGCAGTCCTCACCCTCAAAATTGAAATGCTATAAATTGGTAATTTCTTCCTTTTTTAATTTATGATTAAAATATTTTCGCATTAAATTTTGCATACTTTGAAACTAATTTCTTCCTGAACAATTTTAAAAATTCACTACTATATTAGTATGATGTATTAAAAAAGCATAAATTTTTCTCCCTAACTACTTCCAAAGCAGATCGAAAATATAAAAGCATCTTAGTCACCAGCCGTCTTTCTCCCTAACTACTTCAAAGCAGAAAAGCCCATTTCCCCTCACCAAAAAATCCCCACCAAAATCCCATTTCTCCTCCTTTTGTGAGTCTCCTTCCTTTTCTCTAAATTTTTTTCCTTTTTTGGTGTTTCTGCTACCAATTTGGTGGTGATGAATGATGATTGTTGGTTAGTAGTGTGAGTTTTGGTGAAAGTTGTAATTTTTAATCCCTTGTCATTCCTTCTCTTCTTGCAGATCTAGGCGACGTGACGAAGCGGCATGGGTCGGTGAAGCCAAACGAAGCAGCAACATCAGAGGGGAGTGAAGCGGAGGGTGTTCTGGCCACGGGACTTTGGATTCTCGAAGCATTGTGCCATTCCATTGTCTTTCTTTTAAGATCCTGATTCAATTTCCAGGTACATAAACAACACTGCATTTAATTTGTTGTATTTTCACTCATCTATCTGTTTGATGCATAAAGACAAATTTTGAGAATTTTAACAATTTATTACAGTATATATGCTGTTTTGTTGATAAGATGTCTTTAACTAATTTCTTTTGGTTTGATTTCCTTACGTACATGCATTTTTCTCCTCTTCATTTGATATCAGTTATTTTTGCACCAAATTAATTACCCTGCACAAGGAGTATGGAGGTCTGCCTGCTTTCTTTGTTGTTTTTGATCATACGATTTTTCCAGTTCGCTAAGTTGGGGATGATGTATTTTTTTCTTTTTATAAAAGAATTTGTAGTTTAATATATATAGTTTGCATTTTATAAAAATAATTAAGAGGTTAGTGTTGGGAATATTGTCTTCTCAATTTTTTTTTTGGACGTGTTTAAAGAACTAGATACTAATTAATATATTTAAAAACTTATTGTTAAATTAAAATTTTTGTTTTCCAACAATTTTACTATCTCTGCAGAATCTCTTTTCTCCCTCTACACATTGCCTCCTTTTTTGATAGATATACCCTGTTCTGTGACTGTGGTAGGAGATGAGGGGTCCTAGTTTTAGCATTCTGTTTTTGGTGTTATTATGTGTATCTATACTTCCATTATTCAACATTTGTTTCTATGTGTTTGTAGATCTTGTTTTAAGGCCAAAATTATTTCAATATATAAGATGGATAAAAAAAGGTCAAAGGCAGTGTGGGATGCATTTACAACAAAAATTTTCTGCGAGATATGTGTGGAAGAGGTCATTGCCGGTAATCGTCCTAATAGTACTTTTAAGAGATTAGGGTGGACAAATGTGGAAAAAAAATTTAATGAAAGAACAAACAAGCATTATATTTATAAACAACTAAGAAATCGGTGGGATGCATTAAAAAGTGATTGGGTTTTGTGGAATCAACTCTTAAAGCGAGAAACA